ATCAGGTCATGTACAAGAGATGGTAGGCTGTGTAAAGAATGACTGGCAGAGATCCCTGGGCACCAGCCAGGGGGAAGGTAATCGACAATTGTATCCGCAAAACAAAAGACGTTTAGAAAAGGAAATATTAGGGCAATAAAGACGTAGAAGCCTCAAGGACCCAATGGAAATCTAAGAAGCTGAAAATTTAAACAGGAGTCAGTGTTACAGCTGGGACAACAGTGTCGAGATGACGTGGACAAATAGAGACGGTTTTCAGCAAACTGAGTCAGATTCAGGAGTTACATTCAAGGCGATAAAGACAAACTTCAGCTGTTGTTCTTTGTCTCTGATCTTAAAAATACACACACACACCAGCCCATCTATAAGATCATAGCGTGGTAGTGATGTCGGTGGAATGTATGTGGCACCATGTATTCATTCCTTTATCTAATGGTTGGCTGTTGAAATTGAAATCTGATTTTACACAGACCCATTCTCTATTAAAACATATAAAACATTAGCATAAATTAAAAGATTTGTTTCGTTTTCACTAAATATTCAACTATTAAGAGGTGAAGTGAAAAGATGAGCCGTCTGCTGATCAAAGAGTTTGCTCTCATTCATTTTTTTATAGATCTCTGGGTTCAGCTCAGAGTAGCAAAACACAGTGTTGCTCTGTTTTAATTTAATTGGGTAGGTTAATTTGAATATTCATTAATGTCTATAATAAACCCTGGTGTTAAAAGTGCTCAGTTTTGCCTTGAATAGTGGCATCTTTTGTCAGTTCCAAACTTATTTGTCTGTTTCTAATCACAAAAAAGGGAAGTGCACTATTTGTTTTGATGAACTACAGAACCACATTGTTCTTTGAAACATAAGAAAATTTGAGATCTAATACCAGTAAGATAGCTTATCTGGTTTTAAATTCAGAGGTGTGTGAAGGCCCACAGATTACAGCCATTTGTTTTAGCATTCATCTTTGTACTCAAACACTAGTTATTTCAGTTTTTGTCTTTTGTTGCTTGTTTTTTATTTTCTTGCTTATTATGTTTAATCCAGTATATGTGTCGTTCACTTATTATAATCATCTTTAGGTAAAATGACAACTTGTTGCTTTTTCAAGTTTGTAAAAAAATGAAACAAACCTTCAGACTTGCGTCTCAGACAGTGTTGTGTCCCACAAATGATTTCATGTTGCCTCTTCACATCTATCTTCTAAATTAAAGCTATCTTGCGACTGCAGTTATCAGTTGTATGTGGGAGCTCGGTTGACTTGGAGCTATTGGTTTTCATAGTTTGTCATTTTCATGGGTATGTTTATATCCCATTAACAGAGGCTTTTTTAGCTCTTTGCACATACACATTGTGGATAAACCTGAGCTGTCTGGCTCGAGGCTGAAGGGTGACTAGCTTGCTTGCTACTCCTGACTCTGCTTTAGTTCTGATCTGTAATTCCTGACGTGTGAAAGCAGAGTAAACGTTAGCAAGTGAACAATCAAATTACTCTAATGTGATTTCTTATCTTTAAAGATATGTTATGCTATAATTACCTATTATTAGAAAGAGAGACTTTTAAACATGATAGAAACAAAACTCAGACTGTAAAGAAGTAACATCATTACCTAGCCTATCAACTCTAACAGGTGCAGAAATCAGCTTGGTGGACCAGATGGACCAAGTTGAACTAGTATTTTTATTTCCCTGTATACAGTATACTGACTGTTAAGTCTGTTACACATTGCTCAAGACTTCTAATTCAGCTGTGATGTTTTTTTTTTTATATTATATGAATACATTTTAATTTTAATTAAGGTGTAGGATTGTTTTTCTGAGCTTACAGAACACCCCTGCTACTAACTTATGACAGTGCTTTAGATTACGATTTATTACCTTAGATTAAAGTGTACACAAAGCAAGGTATTAAAAATTAGCTCAAACGTAACCATCTATAGCCATAATAATAACCCAAATAACACTGATGGGGAATCATTTTCTGGAGAATGAGAACTTTTACATTTGATATTTAAAGTTTGCTAGTAATACACAGGAGTCATGTGTTTTCGTAGTGTAGTGTTGCTACTTTTACTAAGGGAACAGTTCTTGAAAAGTCCTCCACCATTGCTCATTGTCATCTAATGGTAAATATTTGATGGTAAGCATGGAGGTAATAACCTTTTTCAGCCAGGCCAGGAAGGAGTGCAGAAAATACTCAAAACTGTCAGGACATATAAAAGACTAGAAGTCATTTATCACATAATCATAAATCTGGACGTTTTGTCTCATCATTAGTGTGTTAAATGTGTGTAGTCAGGGGATGTCTTCTCTCATTAGCTCTCTACAAAAGTCCCTGCATGGAACTTATATATATATATATATTAGGGCTGCCACAAACGATTATTTTGATAGTCGACTAGTCACCGATTATTTATGCGATTAGTCGACTAATCAGATCATCATCCACTGGACGTAAAACTACAGCTTATTGCACCAGCAGCATCTGCTCTTATATAACTATCATTAGCTTACAGCTTTAAGCTTTTAAGGTGCTAACTAAAAATAAAGACAAGATGATAGTTTATTCAATTTTAATGAAATTTGCAGATTGTTTCGGTAAAGTTTAATAAACTCCTTGCTATCTAAAATATAACAGGACACCGGAGTATATTCTCCAGCATCTCACACTTCTGATAATCAGCTGTCTGCTTGACGTTTATTCAGCTGTGTAAAAACTATAACTTTAATCTCAGCCAAACCGATTTACTCAGGAACAAATAAAATACTAAAAAAAAAAAAGCCAAACAACAACATTTTTAATTTATCTAAGTGACTCATATATATTTAACCTGAGTGCGAAAGACGGCGGTGGGTTTGAAAACAATTTGCCGGGAGTCCGGTGTTCTCACGGCGCTAGTGACCTAGCCCCCGGCTAGCTATCGAGCTAGTGGGTAACAGACGTCTCCGAAAACGTCGGAGCGCTTTTGAAAATATGTGGTGTCCTGATAAACTGAGCCGATATTTGAGGTTTACACAGCTACATTCTCGCCTGAAAATATGTTAAACGTTTATTTTGTGACCCAGAAAGAATAATAAGAGTAATATTAAAACTAACTAGCTACCGCCATTGTTGGAAACTAAGCTGGGCCGCGCTATGAATTCTGGGACACAGCTGCTTCTTCTTCTTCGGGGTTTAACGGCAGCTGGCATCCTTGTACATGCAGTGCTGCCATCTTCTGTTTCAGTCCGTTATTACACTCTTAAATCCTGCTACTTATTCCTGCGTCTTTTGCGATCTTACAAAGCTTCAAACGACACGTCGACTATTAAATCAGTCGTCGACGATTTTGATAGTCGACGTAATCGTGACTAGTCGACAAATCGTGGCAGCCCTAATATATATATATAGTAAATGTGTGTTTTCTTTTTAAAAAATTCCTGTAAACCAATTAAACCATTAAAACCATCTGGTAAAACTGTGTATTTCCCTTTCACCCATAACAGCGCTGGCCGGGTGGGATATGAGTACAGGAGCTCTGGGGAAGTCTGGCACCAGGACATTGGCAGTGGATCCTTCGGGTCCTGTGGGATACAAGTGAAGCCTCGATGGATTAATCTTTTACCAGCACATCCCACGGATACTTGACTGGAATGGGAAGTTGGCAATGCGTTGATGAGAGTGCTTCTACTGTGGGAGCCCACAGCAACAACCTTTTGGTGGGTGGTCAGAAACAGAAATGCCATAAGCCAGTGTGTCCCAACATAACATTGTGTTGCAACCAGATGATCAGTAGTATTCAATGTTGTGGCCTATGTATTATTTTACAATGGCTTGCTATTTCCTTGCGCTTCAAACGTGCCTAATAAGCCAACCTAACTACCTTCTCTCTGTAACCTTTCTGTGTATTTTCAGTATGAAGCTGATATATATATTCTTAATAAATCAAATCTGCTTATTTCCAAAATGTAAAAGTATTTCTTTAATTTAAAATACCGTGCGCTGTCTTTACAGTCCTGAACTTCACGAAGTAACTTAGTAAGGTCATGCACTTCTTTATCGTTTCAAATCACCGACCTTATTATCAACCAGACTTAATCACGTTTTCCTTGTTCACAAGGTGGATATTTGTACTGCGTCTAGTACACTCAGTCAATAATGCATTTTTTTCTCAGCATGACTATTACCTGGTCTTTGATCCACAATGAAACGTGGGCTTACATCATTTCTCAGTGTTCTACATTCATAAACTATTCCTTCCCAAGTCTCAGTTCTTGACACCGTTCAGGCTCTGAGGGGATGAGCCCTACACACAGAATAGCTAATACAGCTACCAGCAGCTCAGACAGAGGGGAGTAATACCAGAATCCCCGTCTTGTCATTTCTCACAGGCTTAGTCCCGCTTTCATCTTTGATGTACACTGTATCCTAATGTAATGCAGCATTCATGTATCTTGATCCACTTTGTACTTCGACTGACTCAGCAATGGGATAAGTGTAATTAAACTGTAGTTTTGCATAAAATAGAAGCTTTAAAGACATTTTCGCATGAACGTCTCGTAGCCTTGAAAGTAGAGAAGAGTGGAAGATCTGGCGTCAGGGTCAGTCCCTTGGTCACTCAGGGCTGACGTGAATCACCGTGTTTATACTGTGGAAAAGATTTTTAATTAGCCCCTTATTTTCACTGCATCTGCAAGTGGCATTTCCAGATATAAAAACTCTTTTGCAACTTTTATCAGAATAAAATAATTTATATTCTCTTGACAGGAAACAGTTCTTTGTGATTGTCAGACAGACTGTCGGTGGATAAATCGGAATAATCCGTTCGCAGTAATAAGCATTCAACACTATGTCCAAAGAGAATAAATAGATAAAATGAATGACTTGCAATGATGCCTTTTTTCTTTCTTTATTTTTTTTTTTTGTAACACCCCCTCTCCGCCTGCTACCCCCCCCCGAAAAAGAAGATGATTAATACCAAGTAATTGTGGACACCGACTGAATGAAAAAAAGTACAATCAAGAAGGCAAATTAACAGTCATATTTACTGCAAGGTTTAGACTCAGTGTAATAAAATGCTCTTTTTGGAATAGATGTAAATGTATTTCTTTTTTTTTATAATTTATTGTAACTCCAAACAAAAATAATTTCTACAAAAAATATTCAAATAATGTCATATAATATCGATACGTGGTTCATATCTTTTCTCTCTCTTTTAGACTTCTGATTAGTTAAATTCTTCTTCCTGAATACTGTGTGAAGATTAAATCTCGCTAAGTGTGGCAACAATCACTCATTCCTATAACAACCATAATAGTGACTAATGTATTATAATTCATAACCCCCTGGATATTATATAATATGTATAATCTCAGCAACTGCTAGTGGGCACATTAGATACAATGACTGAAGATATATATATATATTTTTTTTTTTAGAAAAAAAATGCAGCAGGAATAGAATAAATGTAAAATCAAGTCTCAGATTAAGAGAAAAAAATGAAACCTGGTTAATATACTACGTAGGCCTCAGCAATAGGATCAAACAAGCGCCTCTCCGCTCGACCCTTGTCAACATGCCTTGTCCTCACTCTGAGCCCGACCGCACGCCCTCGACGACAGTTGCAAGTGAGATCCGCAAGTCAACCGAGAAAGAGAAGAAATTTAAAAAAAGAAAAGAAAAGTCTTGTGATTACAACAGCCATTCCCTTTGATGTGAAACAGTGGTGATTAAGTTTTTGTCTATGCTTTTTGGTTTGATGCACATTGCTCCAGCTTAGGAATAAAGGGAACAGTGGTTGGTATGATTTTTCTTCCCCCCCTGCATCTTTTTTCTGTGAGGTTGCTCATATTTATTCTCTGTTTGTCCTTCGCACACCTGAGTGTACACCCAGTGCCATTACAGTCCTGTGAAGTGCGCATGTGTGTTTGAAATGGGAACGGGAGTCGAGTAGTGATCGGTGAGCGTGTGCGCTTTTAAGAGTGCTGCAGTGTTGGGTCCATTACAGGGACGACCCCTTCCCATTTTGGGTCACCCGTCGCCTCACAAATACGCTCATATACACATGTTTTAGGTGTGAGGCAGGGGGGTGGGCGGAGTTGGGGGGTGGGGAGGATTTTCGTGGCTCAATGGGGCGTTAATGTGGCCAGCAGGTAGGTTAGCAGAGTGCCGAGCAGCAGGGTGGCCGTGGAAGGGTGCGGCAAAGAAGCGCCGCTGCAGTCCTTGCCCGCCTCACAGCGCGAATGTTGGCACAGTACCCCCTTGAACTCTGGAGGACAGATGCACTTCAGGTTCTGGTAGCACGTTCCTCCGTTCTGGCACAGGAGCATTTCCTCGTCACAAACGTTAGCTGCAGAAAAGAAAAGAAAGGTGAGAATAGAAAGTGCAGCATAGGGAGGAAGTGGCGTAGAGGATGGAGGGTGAAGGATTTGCAGAGGTAAGGTGAACGGGAGAGACGAGTTGTGAATAAAGAGCATGCGGGGAAGTGACAGAATGACAGGTGGTAAAAGGATAGTGGGGGAGTAAAGAGCACAAAGACGAAGGAAAGATGTATGCCAAAGAGGGAGACAGGTGGGGGATGATAGAAGGGGCAATGTTAGACAAAACATGATAGGAAACAGAAACGGGGAGGAGGAGAGGAATCCAGGGCAGAAAGAACAAAGTAGAAAAGAAAGAGCAGGAAGGAAAGAGCCAAGATAAATTCTCCAGTCTTTGCCTCGGGGACTACAACAGGTAACACCTGTCTTTTTTTTTTTATTTCGTTATTGCAGCCCTTTTCTTTGACTGTTTTTCTTGAGCATGCACTTTTTCAGGGTGAGGTCAGAATCACTGTATCAAATCCAGCAGAAAATACACAACATGTGTTTTATTTGTTCAGGAGTCTTTTGGAAGAATGAGCATCGTCGGGAACCATAGGTACTTGGGTAACTGTACCACATAACATACTTGACCTAAAAATGTTCTGAGGGAAACGGGATCCAGCTTCCGTGACAAGAAGTAATTACATGTGCTAACATTTTTTTACTACACCAAAGATAATTGGTTCTGTTGCCTGGGAGTATCTGGAGTAAGATGTCACGGCTAAAACAAACTGCACGGCCTTTTAGTGCAGCATGTTCCATATTGTAATAAAAAACTCACAGACAGATGCATTTGTTTGTGTGTGTGTGTGTGTGTGCGCCTGTGTGTGTGTGTGGGTAGTTGGGTCTACTTGAGACTGAGACCAATGGCTTGATGGTAGATGGCATAACGAAGGCGTTTCCCCATAATAGGGTTAAGGTGCGACAGGGTCATCAATTAAATAAGAGGCTGATGTCACTAATGAGCTACGTGATCTATTCCTCTGTGAGAACGGACAACATCCAGAGCTGCACGAGCTAAATGGATGGTGCACTTGCAAAGGCCCTGGAAAGACTGCAACGTTTCCTCAACTCGGAATTTGTTTAAACTACCAAAAGTCAGTATCCCCATACTCACGGTAACAGCCTTGCTTCCAGTAGTATCCTGGCAGACAGTCGTCACATTTGGCCCCCGTGGCCCCGTCTTTACACTGACAGAAACCTGTGCCGTTACACCGGTCATGAACAGAGCCCATCTGGTTGCAGTTGCACTCTGGAAGAAGAGAAGGGTGGAGAAGAAGAACAGAACGAGTCAGTTATAAATGCTTGTCTCATTTCATTTTTTTTCTGCTTTTTGGGTGGGGGCGGGGTTAATCTAGACTTGAAATGAGTTTGGCTCAAAATCTACACATTTGTATTCAGACCACTGAGTTGTGTTTGATGTTCAACATCTTCAGAGCTCTGGTTCTGTGCATGTGAGCTGCAGTTTCTCTAAAGGCGTCCAAGCGTTGAAGACATTCAGGGCTGAATTTGAGGCAATTTTTCAGCCAGAAATATATTAGTGTTTAGCCTGCAGTGTATCACCTTGTTGAACATTCAGTGTAGTTTTTTCTTTACTTTCTTTTTTCATGCAAAACTCCATGATTATGTGATCAATGTAGTCCTGTCTGGGCTACCAAACTGTTATGATTTCAAAGGCATCTCACAGGTAACATTTATTCTAAAACAGCAGAGCACAAATTTTTCAAGGTCTAGAGGTTATAGAGTTTTTCAGCAAATTCACTGACATGTGGCAGAATGAACAATACCTGTCTTTGCAAAGACTTTTCTGATTTGTCTCCAAATTCAATGCATACGCTAACATGCACAGTATATAATTATGAGTATAGAAGGAAAAAACAGAGTTTGTACGATTCTAATGAGACTAAATGTCAACATTTGGTACAACCGCCTTTACTCTCTAAATAGCCTGAGCTCTCTCAGGCAGCTTTCCTGTACTTTCTTAGTAGTAGTCTTCAGGAATAGTTCTCCAGGCTTCTTGAAGGACATTCAAAGCTCTCCTTTGGATGTTCGCTGTACTTTTTTTGTGTTCATAATTCCAGCAATTTTGACAAGACCCTCAACATCACTGGCTGAAAAGCAGCCTGAAACCAGGACAGGTCCTCCACTGTGTTTCGCAGGTTGCTGTAGACACTCACTGTTACACCTCTCTTCTCTCCTCTCAATGGTTCTTGTGTAATTACACATGCCTCAGCTTTTTCTCCCTGTTTCTCTTCCTTAAGAATGGCTTCTTAACAGCTTCCACTGAGACCATTTCTGATGAGGCTTCATTGAACAGTAGATGGATGAACTGAGGGGCCAGATGTAGCTCTCAGGTCCTGCGTCAGGTCTTTACTGGATCCCCACCCCCCACTTGTTAGAGACAAGATTTTCAGATATTGTTCATCTGTTATAGATCGTTTTTTTAGGCCTGGCACTTCTACTTCTAGCCTCCACTTGTCCAGTTTCCTCAATTCTTTTTAAAGACACACTGCATACCATGCTGAAAAATGCCAAGTGTTCATCTATTTGCATATTTTTTTAAAAATTATTTTTGGCATTATTTGTAGATTTACTAAAGTAATGGGAGCAAATGATGGGGTTTTGTGACAGGCTGCTAGTAACAAAGTGCCTAAACATACAATTTAAAATGGTTTCTTTTGGTTCTTTGCTAACTTTTGTGTGTAGACACTACACTGGTTCTTCCCTTGAATTAGGTAACTTTTTAAATGCTTGAATGGGTGAGAAAACCTGGAGAACTAGTGCTGAAGACACCTTTAAGAAATACAAGAATGTCTGGCTCCTTGAAAGCAAAATATCAAGAACTGAAGGATGGCACAAGACCCTTGCAGGTAAGCATTTTTCAACAACTTTAGAAGCCTTCTTAAAGTGTGAGTTTTTAACGCAGGGAGCATGGTAGTGTGGTGGTTAGCACCACTGCCTCATAGCTAAAAGGTCCTGGGTTCGAATCTACAGGCTGTGAACCAGCTTCTTCCCATAGTTCAAAGACATGCACATTAAGTTAACTGGTAATTGTAAATTGCCTATAGCTGTTGTGTCTCTCTCCCTCTGTGGGATAGACTGGCAATCTGTCCGGGGTGTAGCCCACCTCTTGCCCTATGACAGCTGGGCTCCAGTCCAGTTATGACCCTGAATTAGATGAACCGAAGAAGATGGATGGATCCCAATGCCATTATCAGGTAGTTTTTAAATTGGGTTACAAACTGCCTGTGCTGGAGAAACAGCTGCAAAGTCACAAAAATACTCCATATACACAGTGTGCTGTGAAGTCTCCCCTGCCTGCTGTAGTTTGGTTAAAACACTCTCAGTTCATTTGTCTATTTAGTGCATTTCACTTGAGCTGATGTGAGAGCTGTCAGTCAGTGCACAGGCGCCCTATATTAATATGTATAGACTAAACATAATACTATTTTTTCTTAATAAATTGCTTTATTTCCACTAGTCATTAGGATTCCAAATCCATATATCCTTGAATAATATTGAGATCAGTGACAGCTGGCAGCAGATAAAAGGTTCACAAACTGCAGAGCTGCGTATTTAGGATACATTTGTCAGTGAGTTGATGATGAACTGATGATTCTATCATAATTTGATGTAAGTCAATAGCTTGTCTTTTGAGAAAACCCGAGATCGCCTTTAGTAATTTATTATAAAATTTAGCATTAAAAATTAATAGAAGTGGGAAAAAGTCTGAGATTAAGACAACCACAGCGCTGTGGTTGGCATTCCTGTGTTTGTGGGTCATGTGCATCAGTATTGGTTGACGTATGGGAGCTTTTATCTGTGAATGTGTGTGGGGAGACTGAGTGCAAACACATTTGTATTTTACAGTGTTTGGCTTCTTGCTCTAGAGATGCTAGTTTGAACTGATTTCTGTTGCCACACTTGGTGTGCCAGTGTGCTGGCAGATAAGCTAATGGGACCTTATTTGTGCTGACTCCAAGGCCTGGCCCTGTGTGTGCCCTGACCGCAGTGAGTTTACCCTCCAACCCCCTGCAGTCCACCTAGAGATGGATCCAAATCAACACCAGATTTTCCGCTCCACAGCTATGCAAACAGAGTGACCTCTTATCAGGACGTGCCCTTAATGTGACTGACTTTAAAACAAACACACGTTATCCTGCATATCACTGCAAATAACAATACAAAAGTATTCTTTTTTTACAGTACAGTTATAAAATAATCCCACAGTTTCTGTTCTTCATTGTTTTGGCTTTGTATGGTAGAACAGAAGACATGATATGAGTTTAAAGAGTTGGCTTCTAGCTCAAAGGATGCCTGAGGGTGTTCGCATTAGTACTGGCTGAACAGTGTCTGACTTCTTTTATTCAAACTGTAGTCCGCCAAGCTTTAAGATAGTAGCGAAAAAGCCCTTAGAAACTCACAAAGCTTTGATTTCCAAGCAATAAAAACTTCTTGAGTGGCCACATCAGTCACCTGTGTATACTGTTCCACTTACTTAAGACCGCGCTGAAAGGCAAGAAAGCCCTGAAACAAGCAGAGATTTCATCACAAGTAGTCGTATCATCCTTTGCTTTGTTTGTTCCTATCAATTAGAGTGGCTTTAAGATTTTGTTAGAACTGTATGTTCCCTGCAGTTTGAGAATAAGTGTCTAAAACAAGGCTATTTCTTCACTTTTTCTCTGATATGGATGTAAACGCACACGGCTTGAATCTGACAGCACTATAATCCCGTAATTATCGTGCCCTATCTAAATTCAAAGCAAACATAGGCAAATATGTTTTATAAAAGTGCCGCTGAAAAAACATTTGCATTAAACACTACGCATTAAAATTTCACTGCTACACCACCAAGTGTTGGTAACTTTGTTTTTAACTTAAGATGCATCATCTTGTTGTTTGAAAATTTAAACACGCCTAATGGATCTTCTTACCTGTTTCACTGTCAGTCACACACACACACACCCACACACACACACACACAGATACATCCACTGCTCTCGTACCGATGCGCCCACCCCCCCTCCACATATTCTCCCCGTTTCCCAGCAGACTCACCGATGCAGACGCTCTCATCATCCAGTTCGGCAGAGGCGTTGCGGTAGAATCCCAGTCTGCAGTGTTGGCAGTTCTGGCCCCTGGTGTTGTGCTTGCAGCTGACGCATGTGACGATGTTCAGGTAGTCGATGTAGCTGCAGCGATTGGAGTGGCCGTAGCACTCGCAGTCTGAAAGAAAAAGTGGCGGATTTCAAATTTTTTCTCAGGTGTAGGAAAAAAAAAGATTCATGAATGAAATGGGATAGAGGGTGGGGGGTGTTGCAGTCTTGGAGGTGTTTTTGGGTGACACAAGGAAATGATAAATGAGCTGAGCTTATATAAAATGTCTGAAAGTTTTACTTTTAGATGTCAGTGGAGAAACAAATGATGCCGTGTGTGTTTTATGGCTTTCCTTTCTCACTCTATATTGGTTCAATAAAGACAGACCACTCCCTCTCCATTACTACACTCACAGGTTTGCTGAGTCTGCTTCACTGCGCTGCACTGATTACTGATGGGAATTGCACTATCCTGGCTATGGGTGTGTGTGTGAGTGTGCACGTGTTTGTGGCTATGTGTGCAGCTGTGTGAATACAAGCATGGTAATTGTCTCTGGGAATTTAATTGTGTTACAGAATGAGCAGATTATAAGCTGTAGAATAGTAACTAAGGGAATTAGTTTGAGGTGAGTGGTACAGTGAGTGTTTGGAGACTGCGCTTGATAATATGAAAATGGTCTGACCCTGGTTAGGCTGATGGAAAACTGGCCTTTGTTCACGCCTCGGCAAGGAGTCAATCTGAATAACTATTGGAGCATGTGTAAAATACCAAAAAGTCGTTATAGGAACAGTAAACTTTGTTTCTTTATTTTTAAAATGTGATGATTTTTTTTTTAATTTTAACGCAGCGATGTGTAAATTCCCACCAAGGTCAGGTTTGCCCCATGTTGCATCAGGTCTTCTATCAACAAAACTCAGTTTAGGAACTCGGTGGATCAAAATGTTGACGATGCAAATTGATACCGAATTCAGCTGCTCAGCAGTTCAGGGCTTCCTTTATAACATGCATATTATTATTATTATTTTTTTGTTTTAATGAGTGAAGGGTTTGGACTGAAGACAGGCCAGTTTAGCGCCTGAACTTTTCAAAGCCATATTGTTGGAGTATATAAAAGCTTTAGTTTGCCGCTGTCTTATGCCTCAGTCACACACTTTCTTTCTGGACAAGTTCAACCTCATTTTGATTACTTTGGTTGCTAGCATCTTGCTACAGTCACCCACTGTTTGAATGTAAGATGCCGACTGGTCCCAAGCAGTAGCGGTTTTTGATTTGGGCGACACGGGCGGTTGCCACGGGGCGGCATCACGGGCATCGGCAAAAAAAATAAAAATAAAAAATTGCTCGTACTCATGCTGCCCCGACATCAGCCAGCGCATATTGGGAATGGCATAGGCACCGATCGGTTTTCTATCGCCCATTTGCTGGGAGTAAGGGTGCCCTTTGTTTGCGAGGTGCGCCTGCTGCTTGCGGCGCAGGCAGGAGAGGATTCTCTGGCTAGCTGGAGCAGCATCTAATAACCAACAATATTATGATACAGCTTCATAATTTGCACCGATGTTTTTTCAAAATTCTATACGCAAAAAGTGAGCGCGAGAGCCCTCGGTGCGCCTGCTTGCTGCTGAAGTCAAAGTAAACTTGATTGTCATCTCCGCTACATACAGTCCAGTATATATGTTTTATCTTGTTTTGTTAATATTGGGCTGTTTTTATTTTATGTTTTATGTGTTTTATTTATTTATTTTGTGTTTTTCTGTTATTTCTATTGTTTTAACTTATTTTCTGTACAGCACTTTGTTCCTGTGCTGGGTATTTTAAGTGCTTTATAGATAAAATTGGATTGGATTGGATATAGAGAGACAAGACGACGAGGCTCCAGTTACAGCAGTGCAAGTAACAAACAATAAATATAAGAAGAGTAAGAAAATAAATATACACTTTAGGACCGGTAAAGGATCAATAACAATTTAAAATTTATAATTTACAGTTTGATGATTTAAAGTCTCACACACAACCGATCGAAAGGGGAGGGGGCGCTGCTTCCAAATAGAGCACATTTCATTCATAATGTGTAAATCCAAGCCCATTATGTATTCATGATTTGAATCCTGGGTTGTGTGAAATCCCAGAAATAAACCCTTAGACAAAGTGAATCTGTGAACTAAGGTGTAGGTCTGTTAGGTTATGTTGTGGTGATCCTCGGTTGGGGGATTTGTGTTCATACTGGAGTGCAAAATTAAAACCAATGGAAGATGGACAAGAAAAGTTCAAAGCCATCAGGTGCTCAGTTTAGAAAAAATAGAAAAGAAGAGGAGGAGAAACGAGCAAAAGATACAGGTAAGCAGATGTGTCATTGGATAATGGCAGGTCATCCTGAAACAATCAGAATCAGAATACTTTATTAATCCCTAAGGAAATATGTGGGTTACAGTTGCTCCAAGAAGAAATGGTAAAAATAGTAACAGTAACAGACTAAACTCCAAACAATACATTATGTTACAGATTTTAATATTAATTAGTCATTGTCAATTGTTGATTTGTCCTGTTCTCATTGTATGACGAATTATGATGGCTGTTTGTACCGGCATACTATGCATACTCTCTCTCTCTACTATGTGTGTGTGTTGTGTTTCTCTGGTGAATTTCGACAACAGTCTTTATGTTAATGTACAATCCTTAATATGCTTTATGTGTGTGTGTGTGTGTATGGGGGGGGGGGCACACTCGGCA